GGGATAGCGAGGGTGCCGAGCCGCTCTCGGGCCACCTTAAGACCGCGCCCCTCGCCCCTTCCCCCTCCCCTCCCCCTCCCCCCCCCCTCCCCTCCCCCTCCCGCCCCCCCCCTCCCCTTCCCCCTCCCGTTTCCTCTCCCGGGGCTCGAGGCGGCGTCGGGGGCGTCACTCTCGCCTCCGGGTCCCAGCCGCACGCGACGCCAAAGGAGCCGTTCAGCTCGGGCTTGCTGACGAGGCCTGAAACAGGAGGGTGTACCGCGGTCAGAGAGGGAGGTGGGAGAACGAGCGGCTCAGGCTTGCGCACGACGCCGTGGATCTCGACGCGCAAACCGACGTACCCCCCGCTGTCCGCATTCTCGGCGGCGGCGGCGGCGGACTCTGACGGGGGCATCATCGTGGACGCAAACGCCTCGAGCTGCTGCCGGAACGTCTTCTTTGGCCCGTCCGCCGCATTCTCGGGCGAGACTGCGGCGAGGAACGTCTCGCCGAGCGCCTTCAGCGCGAGCGCCCTCTGGAAGCGGCCGTCTGCAGACACGGACGTGTCGGAGAGCACCTTCTTGCAAACCTTGCGCAGCGTGCCCTCGACGTCGACCACCGCCAAGTGCCACGCGCCTAGTCCCACACCTCCAGAGCCTCGAGCCCAGCGAGGGTTCACGTCTTTGGGTGGTGGGGTACGCGTGCCCTCGAGCATCGTCGCCATCACCTTAGGGTTGAGCTGCGCCTAGTCCCACACCTCCAGAGTCTCGAACCCAGCGAGGGCTGCGGTCCTTGGGTGGTGGGGTGGAGCCGCGCCTTGATCGCCTCCTCCGCCTCCTCGCCCTCGCCCAGCCCCTGCATCTTCCTCCCTGCGCGGTACATGCTCACCAGCGAAGCGGCCGCTTGCCTAGAGGTGAACACGCCAACGTCAGGGCGGGAGCACGGTGTTATGCAGTGTCTTCAGAGCACCGCGTGAGGACGAGGGGTGCGAAGACAGTGAGTACAGCCGAGCACGGCCGAGTACAGCGGAGCGCGTGTCCTCTCGAGCGCTACTAGGGGTACGTGACTTCGTCTTCGGCTTCTAAGGAGACTTGCGTGTTTGTTTTGACCGCGTGGCCGCGCGCGCGCATCGCCTCGCCCGCGCCTCCCAGCTTCTTGTAGTCGGCCTGGAACTCACAAACAGCTCCTCTCAGAGTCCATTCTAAACGAGGTCATCACGCAAGCTCTTGCCGTCGGCCTTTTGCAGGTGCAGCTTGGCGCGCGAGCAGTACATGCGGCCGCACACGTGCGTGAGCAGCTCGCCTGCGGGGAGATGTGGGGGAGATGTGGGGGAGATATGGGGGAGATATGCGGCCGCACGCGTGCGTGAGCAGCTCGCCTGCGGGGAGATGTGGGGGAGATGTGGGGGAGATATGGGGGAGATATGCGGCCGCACGCGTGCGTGAGCAGCTCGCCTGCGGGGAGATGTGGGGGAGATGTGGGGGAGATATGGGGGAGATATGCGGCCGCACACGTGCGTGAGCAGCTCGCCTGCGGGGAGATGTGGGGGAGATATGGGGGAGATATGGGGGAGATATGCGGCCGCACACGTGCGTGAGCAGCTGAGAGATGGGGGAGATATGGCGGGGGGGGGGAGATGCGGAGAGACGCGGCCGCACACGCGCTGGGAGCAGCTCGCCGAAAGGCGTCGTCGCCATCTCTGCCGCCTTCTCCCGGCACCTCTCGACAAAGGCTGCGCGCTCGGCCTCGTCGCCGTCGACAAACGGCGCGAGCAGCGCGGCGAGCTCCTGTAAGGAAAGGAGTGAAGGGATGAGCGCCGTTCATGAATGGGGGAACGGCGCGGGCAGCGCGGCGAGCTCCTGTAAGGAAATGAGTGAAGGAATGAGCGCCTTTCATGAATGGGGGAACGGCACGGGCGGCCGCAGCGGTGCGTGCGCGCGCCAGCGAGACGGCCCCGGCGGCGATCCCGCCGGCGGCGAGGCCGAGGCCGTTGACCGTCGCGGTGCCGACGTGCTTTGGCTTTTGAAGGCCCATCGCAGCCATCATCTCGTTCATCTCGCGGTCCTCGAGCGTCTGCAGGGCGAGGCGATTGACGTCAGAGGAGTGCGAGGCGCCAACCGGCACGGGACATGGATCTCCAGACCAGAGAGGCGGTAGCGGAGGGGCGGCGCTTCACCTTGGCATCCTTCTTTGACAGCTTGCCGTCCTGCTCAGCGACAACGA